CAAAAAATACAAATAGGGTAACATAGTGTAAATATGGCAAGGTGTCATTTTGTAGATAAAATGTTAAAGTCAGTGTAAGCCCTTGGCCTTGTTGAAGAGGCCAGCAGCGGATGGGAAGAAACTGTTTTTGTGGCGTGAGGTTTTGGTCCTGATGGACCGCAGCCTTCTGCCGGAGGGGAGTAGCTGGAACAGAGTGTCCAGGGTGGGAGGAATCGGCCACACTCTTCCTCGCTGGCCTCATGGCCCTCGAGGTGTGCAGGTCCTCGAGGGTTGGTAGATTGCAGACAATCACCTTCTCAGCAGTGTGGATGATATGCTGCAGTCTGCTCTTGGCCTTGGCAGTGGCAGCAGCGTACCAGACAGTTATGGAGGAGGTGAGGATGGATTCAATGATTGCTGTATAGAAGTGCACCATCATTGTCTTTGGCAGGTTGAATTTCTTCAGCTGCCATAGGAAGTACATCCTCTGTTGAGCTCTCTTGATGAGGGAGCTGATGTTCAGTTCCCACTTGAGGTCCTGGGAGAGAATAGTGCCCAGGAAGCGGAAGGACTCTACAGTTTTGACTGGGGAGTTGCACAGGGTGATGGTGTTGAGTGGGGCTGTATTCTTCCTGAAGTCCACAACCATCTCAACTGTCTTTGGAGCATTTAGCTCTAAGTTGTTCTGGCTGCACCAGGTCACCAGGTTGTCAGCTCCCCACCTATAGTCAGACTCATCCCCACCAGAGATCAGCCCAATGAGGGTGGTGTCGTCCGCATACTTCAAGAGTTTGACGGACAGATGATTGGAGGTGCAGCTGTTGGTGTACAGGGAGAAGAGCAGTGGGGAAAGGACGCAGCCCTGAGGAGTTCCGGTGCTGATGGACCTGGAGTCAGAGACTTGTGTTGCCAGCTTAACGCACTGCTTACTGTCAGACAGGAAGTCTGTGATCCACCTGCAGGTGGAGTCGGGCACGTTCAGCTGGAAGAGCTTGTCCTGAAGCAGGGCAGGGATGATGGTGTTGAAGGCAGAGCTGAAGTCCACAAACAGGATCCTGGCGTAGGATGCTGGGGAGTCCAGATGCTGTAGGGTGAAGTGGAGGGCCATGTTAACTGCGTCGTCCACAGACCTGTTGGCTCTGTAGGCAAACTGAAGGGGGTCCAGGAGAGGGTCTGTGATGGCTTTGAAGTGTGCCAGGACCAGGCGCTCAAAAGACTTCATTACCACAGAGTTAAGGGTGACCGGTCTATAATCATTTAGTCCTGTTGGCCTTAGCTTTTTGGGCACAGGGATGATGGTGGAGGACTTGAGACAGGCTGGTACATGGCATGCCCCTACTCCCTCACCAACACATACCAACCAGTACGGTTCAGTATAGTTAAACACGCAAGGAGAAAAAACAGTCTTTGGAGATTTCCTCAAGTGAACGTTTTGCAATAAAGCAAGCTGGCAAGCCATTCACGTAAGAGTTGTGTCTGCTTTGTTGTACTTGACGGAATGGCGGACTGACTCACAAGTCGAGTTTCTTAATGTAACCGGGTCAGGGCCAAAGAGACCAAAATAGAGCCTCGCTTACAAGCATGTGACCTGGGTCACCAAAATGACGAAAAACACAGCAACATGAAGTATGGAAATGAAGAGACGTGTGTGCACCGAAGCATACAGATGCATATGCAAATGTCTGGAATGCCCATCCATCCACACTTGAACATTCTAACCCGCATGCTAATTGAGCCAGTATGTGGAATCGCATTATTCGTTTTAATATAGCCCACATATTGCAGAGGTCCAGATATGTGTACTGGTAGGCCGTTGTGGTCGGTTTGGTACTGATTGGTTGAGGGGTTTATTAGTTATGAAAACAAAGCATCTTGGGACAGATGGATGCCCTAATGGATGGACAGGCATACTATTTCCCAGCTACATCAATAAGTAGCCTGTTACTCTCTTAACAATAACAAATCACCACTCATATTCACTACTGTGATATTTTTGAATTATACATTTCTTACAGCCGTTTAGTTAATAGACTGACAATTCACAAGGTCTGAGAGAGAGTGCATTTGCATGCTTGCATGTATTTAAAGCATATATTCATATACAGGTCAGTAATGGCGTGCTTAAATTCATCCAGGATTTTTTGTCGATTTGCACCATAAGCTGCAGATGTTCCGGGGATGTGCATACAACAATTAATTGGATTTGTTTGTCGGACCCACGAGGCCTTGTGTGAAGGCTCAAGCCAGGCGAGACACATGAGGAATCTCAGCGCACAAGATAATTGGCCAATTTTTTTTAAAGCCACAATATTATTTTACGCTCTGATAATAAAGTTGTGCCATTGATCCGGCCTTTAGAGCTGGGCAATGGCGAGCCTCCTTGATTCCTCTCTTCTCATTGATTGCTTCGCAAACAAAGTGTCGGCTGGAGGTGGAATTCACCCGTGAGTCCATTACGCGCTTATTGATTGGGTAAAATATGCACTTTCACCAAGATCCTTCTCCGACGACAGAGAAGTGCTGGTTTTCTATTTTTAAGTTTTAATTTGAGAAGCTATTGCAGCTTGTCGGTTAGCACCCCTGTCGCATGACTTAATTCACCGACCCTGTAAACATATAAACGAATGCAGCGCATTTAAAAAAAACTGAAATCTCTGCTTTGAAAATATGACGGACTTAGGTGCCAAAAAAAACATTGTGGCAGTTTACTTTGTTTCAAGGACATTTTCCATAAATGCACAACGATTGATTTGTCTTCCATTATTGCTTTATTATTTTAACTTTGTTTAAGCACTAATATCCCGTGGGAGTTAGCTAAGGGGAAATTGGACTATTGGTCTAAACCGTGTTTAATTCGTTTACACGCAATAAATGAGAATACTAATTAACTGGAAAAAAATTTGCATTACAATAATCTAGTGACACGCAGAGGTCAGAATATATCCCTGCTCCTGCCCATCTCTACTGATTGTGGAAATTCCTTGAAACTCCTTGTTGCTGTGGCAGGCACCAGAATTCCCATGGGTATCTGGCAGACGCAGCAGTATAAAGGTTTTGTAATTGACGATGAGTTGGATGGGTTGGATCTTTATAGATGGGTTGGATTTTGGCAAAGTGGACGAGCGGTGGATTTGGGAAGACAAAGGCAAGTGGCCATGCTTGGTCCTGGCTGTGTTACTCATGTACGTATGTCTGTTTGTATTTTGAACTTCTTTCGCACCGTACGTAGCCAACTGTGCTAATCCGGAGATGCGGGGGATAGGACAACAAACTAAACCAAAAGAAATCCAGCAACGCCAGACAGTCTATGAGATTAAACAAGTGGATTATTTGTCTTTGTGTGTGTATACATGGTGGGGAGCGGTGGTGTAGCGGTTAGCGCGGCGCGCTTTGAACACCGCGACCGGAGTTCGATTTATGCTCACGGCCAACACTTGTGACGGTTATATAAGCCAAGTGAAATCAGCCTCAATTGAGTACCTGGTGCGGAGTGTAAACATCAGCACTGGGGAGACAAAGGTGGTCGGGCGTGGTGCTGGCCACCCAACCACCATGTGTTGCCGTGCCAGCCTTCATAAGTGCTCGCTAACAGCGTTTTCCCAAAAAGTCTATTAAGGCTCTACGGGGGATCTTATTTGCTCATGGAGCTCGTGTTAGCACTATTTAAATATTCAACATTATTTTTGTGTGGATGAAAGATAATAATGATGGATAATAGTAAATAGATGATGAAAGCATGATTTAAAAACGAACGGCCCTTTGACTATCTACTCACCGATGGAGGCCTCCGTGCGTTGTATCAATCATGTGTTTTTTTATTGGGTGCAATAATGAACAATAGCTGTATCACACATTTGTACATTTCATCGGCAGTTCAAAGACCCAGTCCCTACAAGGCGTGTGGTGAAGTTAGGAGATGTCCACGTGCTCGGCATTTGGGTTGTATGACCATACTTCACCACGTTGATCAGCTCGGGTCTGTGGAAGGGGGTGGGAGGACCAGGATATCCCCGTCCACCGATTTCCCCCGTGGCTGGGAATCGAACTCTGCTCGCCGGATTCGCAGCACATCGCGCGATCCACCGCGCCTCCCTTGACCTGAAGCCACACGCGTGCTTCTACGGTGCTCTTCGCGCGCTTTGCCCTCGTGCAAACAATCGCGAAACGTCTCCAATCTCGTGACGTGCACCGTTCATTATTTTATTTACGTCGACTGATCAGCAGGGGTTGGGATATCTGTTCCTGTCTGATGATTGCAGCAGCTTGCGCACAATGCGAAGGCATTAAACACAGCTGCAGTTTTCTCATGCCTCTAGTTGCCTCGAGGTTAAAGGTACGAACCGCAATTACCCACGTTGAGGGAGCCTATTTAATTCGCTTTGCTTCAGAGCAACTTCCTGCATTCACTCGGGACACTCACTGTGACCTTCCAGCACTATCAGCGAGATTAAAGGCGGGCATGCAGAAGAGTCTTTCATCCTTTAACTCGCCTTCATCGTGTCTGTATTAGCATGCATTTTACCCTTTGTTGTATTGTCATCCGGTGCACATAATTATAATTGGCGTTAACAAAAGACGATTCGTCTATCCTCTTTATGTTTATACTCTTTTAAGTTTTTACAAAAGAGGTATTGCACGTATCTATTGTGTAGGTGTACTCCAGTAAAGTATGCTTTTTTACATATATGTGTGTTTATATTACTAACCAAGACATGCCTTGGTTCGTAATATATCATTTGCCTTGGTGCAATCTCAATTACTCCTGCAAAACCTCGTGAATATTGTTTTTTAAAAAAAAATCCGCGTAAGTAAGTAAAAAAACAATCAATAATGTTAGTTGTTGCTCAAGGGACCATACACGCTTTGCTTTGAAAGCGGTAACTGGTGACAGTGCAGTGTTTACGAGTCAAGTAGACGTAGCAGAAATGAAGTTAGATGCTGCAGACTTGAAAGCGTGGTAATGCGTTGTGTTGTGGCGTCATCCGGGCTCCAGTGTCCTTTGTTGTTGTGTTTGTGCGCAGGTTTTCCCTTTGGACTATATCCTGATGGCCATCATTACCATGTACTTTGTGGTGACCTCTATGGCTGGCATACGCAACATGGGAATATGGTTCTTCTGGATGAAGGTATGTCCGACCATAATACACCCATTGCAAAAAACAAAAAAAAAACGTTCGCAGTTACAACAACGAAGATGATGACAAACCGACGCAGAATTTTTGCCTTTTGGCAGCACGAGTTCGATTCCACCTCGCGGTCAACGCCGGTGACGGTTGTATGAACCGGTCATGGGCCTCGCCTAGGTCGACTCAGCCTCAAATGAGTACCCGGTGCGTGGTGTAAACATCAGCATTGTGGGGAGACAAAGGCGGCCGGGCGTGGTGCTGGCCACCCACCCCCCTCGTGTGCCATGTCGGTTTTCATAGGTGCTCTAACACAAATTGCTATGCGGGGGATACAAACCGATTCAAAATTGTTCCCTTTTGGCAACATGACAATAATTGCTTACTGACCTTCCCCCCCCTTTCCCCAAAATCCCCCTACACCCCCGTTACCCCCCCCCTCCCTCGTTACCCCCCCTTTCCCCCCTCCCCATGAGATCACTTATTGGAGAGTAAAGTCAAATTGTCCTGCCGCTCAATCGAGAGCAATTTAATCCGAGCTCATCTCCAATGTTGGCACTCGCAGTGATACAAATTCCACATCCCCTTGACAGGAGCCAGTCTCTTAATAGAGCGACGGCTGTTCAAGTTCCTGCATTGTGGGTACCCGTTTAGTTGACCCTGGCGAAATGCCGGGCCGAGTCCTCTCCCCTCCGACGAGGATTTGAATTTTTGAGACTTCCGATTGTGGATGGACACCCGAACCGCATCCATCATCGTGACCCATAATTTATGGCCAGGCACGAGCCCCACTGAGACTATGAAGGCCCGATATCACCAAGCAATTGGCCATTGTTCTGCCACCCTTTGCCACCCTTTGGCACAACGATGGCCGGTTTTTGTGGGGGGGGGGGGGGGGGGTGAGAAACGCCAGAGCCCATTTGGTAAATTTGCTATGCATGTCAGGTCCATTCCACACTTCAAAAACGCCCGTTCCATTGCTGCCTATTCCGACAAGTGTGGAATGTCCTAAATTGAGCAGGGTTATGTAGGAGCCAACGATGGCGACATTTCCTATCGTTCTGCAGAATCGTGTCAGTCCTGCTTTGGGGATGCGGCTTGTGCAGCAGCAGCAGCGTCATTATCCTCCATAATAACTTTATTTCGGTTCGATTGTGTACATATAAATGTGTCGTTAACCCAATCACTACCCGGCACAGCCAATTAGTAATGTTTGTGTCATAAACAAGACGTGCCAATTAGTTACTACTTCAGCACACCGGTGTGTTGAAGAGTAAACCCACAGCATTTACGATTTGTTTACGTGACAAACCTTACTAATTGGCTGTGTCGGGTGGTGGCCGGTTAACAACACATTTATATTTACACGATTTAACCCAAAAACCTTTATTATGAATAATATTGGTCGCAAAAGGCTTACGTGTTAATCATCATCTTCATTTATCATTGCTTATTCCATTATCATCATCTTTATTAATAATTTCCATCATCGTTAACATTAATAAAGTGCCTCTCCCAGGCACCGAGTGGCACTTGCCAACATCACTACGATGGCCATGCTTGATTCACAACAGGGAAGCTGCTGTTCGCTTCCCAGGGAGTCGAGTTCATTTGACCAATTGCAGTAGAAAGGTGGGCTGAGTTAACCCTGAAAAATAATGTCAACAGGGAAGCCCTTCGAATAATTTTATCTCTGACCATTACACAAACTGTTTGCTAATCTGTGTAAATGTAAAAAAAGGTATCAAAAGTTATTTATCACAGGCCATTGTTAGTGAAGAAGCGTAAAGAGCATGCACTCATCGCTTTCATGCTAAGCAAGAGTGACTCAGTACGAGGATATTGCATCCTTAACGCTGAAATCGTTGCACTGCTGTCATCATTTGCATGGCTTATAGAAGGAAAAACTAGACAAGCTCGCGTTTCAGGCAATGATTCTCGTAATATGACTTTATTTTGGTGAGTTATTATTAGTGTTATCTTTCGGTGCACCTCGGCTAGATTACCAGCTCTTTGACGTTGTAAATGGTTTCCTGGGGTGGAGCGGCGGTGTAGTGCTTAGCCATGCTGTGCTACAACCTGGTTTTCACACCTGATGATGATTGCTTGTGTTACGGTCGAAATGTCGTGAGAATGTTATTGTTTTATATTTTTATTATTTTATTGTTTCCCTTCTACGTGACTTTACCGAAAGTACCAAGAATATGAATCCCTGCAGTCACGAAAGCTTTAAATCAAAATTTCTGGGAAACTAAGTTCGATGAATTTCCGGACGAGTGATAAGATGAACCGGTTACGAGCGTAGTGAAGTAGAGGGAAACAATGACTACACCATGACGCAGGGAGGCTTTCTATTGGCTGTGGGTTCACATAGGGCATTGTTTCCCAGCTGATATTTAAGGAGTAAAAAATAAATAACAATTAAAAGTGCCAGATAATATCACGGATACTAAGTCAAAAGTGCTTTAAGAATGCTCTTGTTGTGAAATTGTGGTGACATTAAGATAGCACTAGTATGTTTTAGCATAAACAGATGTAATCTACATGAACTGCCTTTTAACTGTGAAGCCATTGATTTAAATGAAAACTAATTCATTTAGAATTATTCCAAGAGCTATTTAAATGTTTTTCTCTGAAAGCCCCGTGAACAGTACATAGCGAAGCTTTTTTTTTACTGTACTGAGGTGCAATGTTAAATGGCAATTCACATTTCCTAATAACTTTAACAGGTAATAAAAAAGACTTCTTCAGAGAATATAGCAACTCTTCTACTTACGAACACTCGACTTACGAACTCTCAGACATATGAACAAACCTGATCCGAACAAACCTGTTCGTATGTCCAGTTGTCCAGTTGCCTGAAACTGTATGGATCGAGAGTCGTAAGTTCAACCGCCGCCCAATAGATGGTGGTGGTGGCATCGACATCTTCAGAATATGAAGAACCAGTGACATCTACATCTACAGGAGGTTGTACAGCTTTTAAAGCCATTCCCCGTATTTAGCGTACATGTCGTACAACATGTTTGGAATCGACAGAAGTAATTACGAACAAATCGACTTACAAACAGACTTCTGGAACCTAACTCGATCATAAGTAGGGGTCCCTGTATAAGCTTTCTCGAGAATAAAGACGGGTGGAACTACTTTAAATGTCAAGTTTACTTTGTTTAACGAGGTGAGGACTAAAGAGAACAAAATAAGTTTCGTGTGCAAGAGTGACCTGGGGTATTAGTCTGCCAGTAGGAGATGATGGTTGCTATTAATAATCCCGATGGAGTAACTCACGGTGTTTTTTTTTCTTTCCAATTTGGCGAATTTGGACCCTGATGCCCGGCACTCGACGGGGCTCCTCTTGCGAATGACATCAGGGGGAATCTTTAACGTCCACTGAGAGGGAGAGCACGTTATCGTTTCGGTTATTGCACTGGCAGCAGGGCGGCCTGCTGCATTCGAACTGTGAACCTCTGCAAGTTTCAGTTTTCAGTTTATTTATTTTGGTATAGCCCTTGAGACATTTGGCTCTTGAATCGGGTGCAACCACAACAAACAAAAAAAACAAAAACACGAACAAGAAAAACATCTTAAAGTGACTATGTGACTGTGCAAACAGAAAATCCATGAAAAAAACAGCAAAATATTCCTGAAAAAAGCACCGTACACCAACGTTGTGTGCAAAAAATCCCAGTGGGATGCAAGTCAAACAACAACAACAACCACAAGAAAACTTAGATTAAGGCCATCAGTCTAACTCCGTACTACAACAAAACAAACATGTCCAAACCAAAAAACGTTTTCGAAATGTCCAAAAAATAAAGCCATAATTGCAACGTAACAGTGATCATAGGGACTGTGACCGAATTTTTACAATAAACTGCGTAAATAAAATGTAACACCAAATCCTAGAGCCATTGCTGGCTGCATGAGTTACTCCACAACAACAGAAGCATCAGTCGGAGTATCAAATTTTTCAATGCACCTTTAAGATCAGCACGCTAAATAAAAATACAGATAATACTTTGCAGCGTCATCCGGAGCGAAACATTTTATTTTATTTTACGCCCATGAATAGCAGTGGCAGCTAGGGGTGTACAACTCCTCTAGAGCAGTTTTGAGAGAAGATCTCATTGGTAGCGATTCAAGTTGCAGTTTATTGGCAATAGCATTCCAGACCCTGGGGGCATCAATAGCAAAGGCCCTTCCCCCAGTTTTTGTATGGCAATAGGGAATGTGAAGCTGGTAAATGAGCGAAGACCTTAGGTCAAATTTGTTCTTTGAAACAGAGAGGAGATCCAGCAGGTAGTCTGTGGATTTTTTTGTAAGTACATCGTGAATAAATAAGATCTGGTGCACACGCCATCGAACATTAAGAGATGTTAAGTTTGACCCAATGTAGAGATCACAGTGGGGAGTCCTATATGGGCAGTTCAATGTAAATCTTAAGGCCGAGTGATAGATGGAATCAAGCTTCTTCAGTACAGTACTTGGGGCTGATTTATACACGATGTCACAGTAGTCAAGTAGAGGCAGTATGGTAGCTTTTATCAATTCCAAACGGAACATTGGGGGGAAGCAGTGCTTGTGTCGATACAGAAAACCAATTTTTAATTTTGTCTTTTTACCAATATAATCAATGTGATCTTCAAAATTCAGTTTTTAATCCAGGATGACCCCAATATACTTATAGATCTTGACTTGCTCGATTTGATAATTATTTAAGGAATGTAATTGGGGAATATAACTTCCTGCTTTAGGCCTGGTGAGAAGCATAGCACCTTGGCTTTGGAGGTATTCAGGACTAGTTTAAGAGCAACTAGCTGATGTTGTAGTTTGTTGAAATCACCCTGTAGCTTAGCAATCACGTCATCCGGAGAGCGGTCAGCAGTAATCAGTATCGTGTCATCTGCAAACAGATTTACCCTGGAATGATCCAGGTCAGTGCCCAAGTCATTGACATAAAGAGAGAACAAAAGGGGGCCGAGGATGGAACCCTGTGGAACCCC